TGAGAAAAAAATAAAATCAACTGTATTCTTAGAAGAGTGCAGACCGTCTTGACTTGAGGTGTCACCTCTCATTTCCCTTGGGGCATGAAAAGTAAGATCTAACCGCTGGGCAACTTCTTTTCACAAGGAATGCCATGGTTAGTTACGTGTACATTCTGTTGGTATTAAAAGGAGATAAGACAGGAACAAATATTAAGGACACGTGGACAAAAACTCGGGGCGGGGAATGGGAGGGAGGTGGGGAGGAATGGGTGGGTGGGCTGGGGTGGGAGTACAAGACAGAAAACTATACTTGAACAATAATTAAAATAAAATTGGGGAAAAAAGGAGATAAGAATAATCCAAAGCAGTATGAATGCACTTAGTTTGGAATGTGCTTATTTTGTCTGGGTGGTCCCCTGGGTGGGGACATATATACACAGGGCGGGGCAAAAGTAGATTTATAGCTGTGAGTATGTTCAACAGAGTTTATTCTTGTGTTAGTATTTATTAGTTATTGTATTTTCCCTCTGAACAACTGTGACCCTCCTTTTGCCCCACCCTGTATATCTGTGTGAGAGAAAGAGGGAAAATAGATATTGTGGTGACTTGGGAATTCACCTTTGAGCTTTGGTTGGCTTCCTAATTCATACTAGAGAGAGTATTTATTGCCTCTTACTGATTCTGAACCATAGAAAACCAGCTGCCTCCTTTCTTACCAAATGCACACTTTCTCCGAGGGAAGGAACATTGGAATAGATGGGGAGTAGTGCAAAGTAGGGCAAGAGCAAGAGGAGGGAGGAGCTGGATTCCTGCACTGAAATGCTTCCTTGGCACACAGCTCTCCTCGGCTCTCTTGACTCTTTCTTTTCACGTGGAACTCTAGGGGAAATAAGTTCACCAAGGAAGTGAGAAAGCAAATAGGAGTTGCTGCAGGACTGGTGGCTATGTAAAACAGTTTCTTGAACAGGGAAAAATTTATGCTTGCACATAAAACTGGTGGGAAAGGTTTATCCTTACTACTGGATCTGGGTTGGCATTTAACTGCTACCTGAAAACACTGTAATGAACTATTTTAAGCTGTGAAACCAAGTTCGTAGTAACAGACTAAGCAATTAATCACCTGGTGTTTGTGTGTCTCTTAAAAAATGATGTATTACAGCTCCACCAGGTGGCTGCCAACAGTGTGAATGAGACAGGCTGACATCTACCAGGAGGAGGGAGAAGCTGCTGCTGCTTTTATTTGTGTATCATTTGACTACATCAGTCTCGGTTTAGTGAAGGGCAGAGATGGGAGACCATTGAAGGTTTTTCTAGGAAGTCTGTCTGGCACTGTCCCCCACACCATACACATGAGATCACTATGACTCACTTTTGACATAAAAATACCCCACACTCATAGATGGTTTTCTGATGGGTAATGGTGTTGCAGGTGCTCTTATATTCTGGTGCTCTCGTTCTGACTGTTATTTTTGGTTTTCATAAAAGGGCAATAGGTTAATTTTGGCTTGTGGACCATTAGACATTTGAGTGTGATACAGCTCGGATGCTAACTCTCATGACATGTAATGCAGCGCTGTGGTGGGAAGGGAGGCTGGTGACCTGAATTCCACTTTAGGCCCTGCTCCTGTTAATGCAGGTGCCTTTTTGGCTCTCAGTTTTCTCATTTGTGAAATGAGTGAATTGTACTGGCTGGTCTCCAGACGCTCTTAGCCATGTATGCATACGTTTTAGTGATTTTTGTTTTAATTTGGAAAAGTATTAACTTGTTAAACATTTGGGATCAAATACAAAAGATGAGGGAGAAAAGCTATATTTAGTATAGGCATTTACATATTTTAAATTAAACTCTACATTATGATATTGATGATAAGAACTAGAATGAGGCAGTCGTTACTATTCTCTTTAGTTCTAATATGGCACAGATGTGATAATAAAGTCCATATGCAGCCTTGCTGAAAGTATCTGATTACACATAAAATGCTAAAAATAAGTAAATTGAGCGATCAAATTGTTTTAGGCAGCACAAATAATTTTTTAAAATCCAGCTACTAAAACATTGAAAGCTGAAATTCATTTTTCCAATTTATTAGTTCTATTCTCATCTAGGTTTAAAGAAAAGAGAAGGAAATGGCTTCTTTCTATGTGTTAAGTAAATATCTTTATCATTTGAAAATCAAAGACAGTATAAAGTTAAAATTTTAAGAACTCTGAGTAACACTCATTAGTTTCTTGTTTTGTATTCATTAATAAAATGAACCACCCCTAATGGATTCAGGTATTCTATATTGCAGTTAGTATGACATTTTAATTGACCTTACTTTATTTTAAATACTTTGTTTATTTATTTTTAGACAGGGGAATGAGAGGAGAAAAAGGAAAGAAACATCAATATGTGGTTGCACTTGTGTGCCCCCTACTGGGGACCTGGCCTGCAACCCAAAGGATGTGCCCTGACTGGGAATCAAACTGGCGACCCTTTGGTTCGCAGGCCGGCACTCAATCCACTGAGCCACAGCAGCCAGGACTGATTTTATTTTTTCATGTTAGTTGAAGACACTGTCTTGGAAAAAGCATAACCCTAGTTTTATTCCAATTTTTAACAATACAACCAGTGTAGGAAATACCAATAACTGATTGTGTGATGGTAGAAATACTAGTACCATGCTCCTTTCCCCATTAACAATAAGATAATTCATTATTTTACTCTTTCTGCTTCCTCCTTAAAAATGATTTTTCAATTAAAAAATTACCCGTGAATGAAGACTGGTCCATATGGTGGCTCCTCCTACTCTTCCAAAACAATTAGTTTATACATTTTTTGCTACTCTCCTTTGGTTAGTTTGCCTTCTTCCATATGTGCCTTCATTGACATATTGCTGTGTCACCTGCTTGGAGTTTGAAGTATTAGCTTTGAATGCAATATGGAATTTGGTCTTGAGGGTTCTTTTTCCTGTGAGACATTTATATGAAAACGTAATCCTTGATTTTAATAACTTACGTGTTCTTTCTACTTATTTCCTACCTGAACTGGCCACAAGGCTCCGTGAGGAATATTGCAGCTGGTTGGTATGAAATTGATTGCTAATAAAGATTACGACTTTAGATAGAAATTGGAAAGAACTACTGATTTCTTAAAGACAGAGTAAAATCAAGATTTTCAAATATTGGCCCAGACCTGTTAACTTAAGAGTAAGAATTCTGGTTTTGGTGACAAATTGTAGAAAGTTAGTTTCAAAGTGTGCCTTATGTCAATGGTATTTAGTTGGCCAAGAAGTTCGTATGTTTTTTTCCTGTCAAAGGCACATTTTTCATGTTCATCAGTAACTTCACTGATTTGGACATTTTGAGTATGTTGACCATCTCATGCGTGGTAGAACGTTGGTTGTTCTCAATGTGTCAGTTTGATCACTGTCCATTTCAACTGGTTTACTGACTGGAGCACCATCCACTGAGAAATCTCCAGCATGATACTTCCCAGACCACTTTTGACACGTTCGATCAGTCATGGCACCATCTCCATATACTGAACAAATCTTTTTTGTGTGTTTCAGTTGTGTTTTTACCTTTCTTGAAATAATAAAGCTGAAAAAGTTGTGTATTTTCTTTCATCTTCATTAAAATGGCTACACAAAAGTTCACCAATTTTGATAAATTTTTTTAAAATGCACACTGATATGACAGCTGTCACAGTACAATCTAAGAAAATTGTTTCAAATGCAGTTAGACAACTAATCCGCTACTAGAGCCATCGTGTGGAAAAAGCAGAGCAAACTTTTTGGCCAACCTAATGAAGTCTTATTTTCAGTTCCTGCTAATAATGCATGGTGAAAGGTTAGCAATGGAAAAAATGCATGTGCACACATGCACATACATGCTTCATATGTTATTATACATGTTCCTAGAAGTCTTTTGGACTAAGTAATTTTCCCATATCTTTTTGTTGAGCGAAAACTATGGCAGTGTTCCAAATGTATAACCTTAGCTCTGGCATTTAAAACTTAATTTTTAGTTTTCAGTGTCTTTTAGCGAGTTTGAGAAATACCTTACATGTTCATCAATATTATGCATTGAAAAGGTCCTTGTGGCCATTTTGCTGTGCTTTTTAATAATAACCCAGGTAAAGGCATGTTATTTTACTTTGCTAAGTTCATTTTCCCCATCTGTATAAAATGGAGGTTGTAGGTGTGAGCGTGAGACATGAGAGCGTAGGTTGAAACAGTTTCTAATGTGTCTTCCAGTTCTAAATATTTTATGACATTATGGAAGCAAAATGCTTTGATGGTTCCATGACCACATCTATTTTTGGCTTTTATTGGAAGAATTTCATTATTTGTACCCATGCTGGAAATGGGTTTCTGGAAGATTTAATTATATTCTACATCGTTTTATTTGCTTGGCTATTAAACATTTAAATTTTGCCATAAATGTCTTTGTCAAATAAGAATTTGAGTTGGCTTTCAAAGAATCTGAACAGGGCTGAAAATAAATGGAATGAGAATAATTTATCAGTATGCATTCTCTTATTAATTGAATTAATGTGTAAGCATTTGACCCAAGGAATATGTGTAATTCTTTATTTTTTAATGGCTTCACCTTAATGCTGTCATCTTTTTAGCTTGCAATAAGTATGAAATAGTTAAAAAAATTTTAGGATTCTTATTATCTTCCATCACCCATGAAATTCATAAGCAGTAAAATAAATACAGCTGTCATTCTCTCCCGCTTGTTGTTTTATGGGTGTTGGGTGAGATGACTGTTTTGTTTTCTACCTAATCTAATCACAGTAGTGTTGCGGTTCTTACAGTAAAAAGCCAATGAGTTAAATTATGTCACCATTACTTTTGTAATCAAATGATCAGAGAAGAAGAAGATACCCTAATGAATGTGAGGCCCTTTGAAATCCTTAAATGAAGGGAAGTAGCCTGAATTCCATATTATTCTGAAGTCTCTTACTGAGAAAATTGACTGAGGGACATCGGTTTTGCACTTCCCGTGGTAATGTTGCGTCGTTTATTTAGATATCCTCGGAACAGAAGATCTCGTTGTGGAAGCAACTGCCAACGATGCTGTGAGGTTTTATCCTTGGACCATTGACAATAAGTACTACTCAGCGGACATCAATCTCTGTGTAGTGCCGAACAAGTTTCTAGTCACTGCAGAGATCGCAGAGTCCGTCCAAGCGTTTGTGGTTTACTTTGACAGCACCCAAGTAAGATTTTGTTTTTCATGGAATCTTAAATAAGAAATTATCTTGTGCTTGTTTTTTTTAACCCCTTATTTCTGTGTGTGTGTGTGTGTGTGTGTGTGTGTGTGTGTGTAAAAGTTCTCTTAATGTCTGTTTTTCTGCTTTTGTTTGTTTCTATTTCCTCCCTCCAGAAATCTGGTCTTGAGAGTGTCTCCGCATGGCTTCCACTGGCAGAAGCGTGGTTACCTGAGGTGATGATCTTGGTCTGCGATAGAGTGTGTGAGGACGGTAAGATGCTTTGATGGGGTGGTGATTGGTGTGCACGTCTGCCACTCTTTGGTAAGCGGAGCACGTTTCCTTAACTTAGAACAGCATGTCTCATTTGACTTTATTCCTTCACGACAGTGTTTTCAGCTCTTTCTCTTTAGAATCTTGCAATATTTGCCTTTTTCTTCTTTTTTTAAAAATAATGGACACTTGCATTTGAGAAATCATTTTCTTTATATTTATTTGGGGTTCCTGTAGAATAATGTTGATATTAATGGAAACACATTTGTGGATAGTATCACAGCCATATTCATGTTTAATTTTTACTTATAAAGGTTTTTTTGCACGTTATCTTAGGTGTAAACCGACAAAAAGCTCAGGAATGGTGTATAAAACATGGCTTTGAACTGGTAGAACTTAGTCCAGAAGAGTTGCCTGAGGAGGACGGTGAGTGTTTATGTCGAGAGAAGACATGGCATTTGGTTTGAGATACGAGATTAGTTAACTCACGGAAGAAAAATCACAGTGAAATTAAAAAATGTTCTTTTTCAGATTTCTGCAAAATTCATCAGTGCGGTCTTACCATTAATCAAATAATTCATTTTGGGGGATTCTGTACCCATTTTAGGAGTTTTGAAGTGTTTGTTTTTCTCGTGCATAAAGGTAGAAGATTTTAACCATAAATCTTAGTCATTTCCCTAATCTCTATTCTTTCTCTACATCCAGAAAAGGAGAGTTTGACCTGTATTCATAAGTCGGTAAAGCTTATGTTCCTTATTTGGAATTCCTGTTAACCTAAGGCTGAATTCCCAGGAGCCATAGATGTATGTCAGTCCTACTTGCATGTGTTTTGTACATTTGAAACCCAAAATGGACTCAGAATACCCTCTTGGAGTAGCTCTGCACTTAACTGCCTTCTGCTACAGTCTGGGCCTTCTTCTGTTTCTTCCTCCTCTTCACGTCCCCTCCCGTGCTCTGTCCTCACCTTTACTCCTTCCACATACACCTGTGCTGGCTGCCATGGCGTCTGCAAAGATAAGATGGATCTCGACCCATCCAAACCTTATAATCTTGTACAAGAGATAAAACGTGTATACAAATAATTGAATTACCAAGTGGGATATGGTATTATTTTAAAAATATTGGTACTGTGGTATTTCAGAGGCAGAAGAGATCATTTTAAAGAAGGGATTGACACCATGAACTCTCACATGTCAGCTGGTCCATTGGGGAGGAAATGGTGAACATACTGGAATTGTGTCCAGAGGACCAGTGGGGAGGGGCATTGAGAAGACGCCAGTTGTTCTGAAAGGCATTTTAGGCGGGGGCAGCCAGTGCAAATTAAATCACATAGACAGGCTATAAGTAATTCTTACATGAAACATATTCTTTAAAAGAATTAAGAAATGTCTTTCTATATTATGGCTTGTTTGAAATTTTTTCAACATGTTATCTTTGGGAATAAAACCTTTCCAGAGAAGAAGAGGACAAAAGGGAAATAAAAAGGCTGAGTTTTCTCCCTGTACACTTTTAAGAATATTGAAAATGGACAAGTGCAACATCCTATCCTGCATCTTTCTGGGCCCCCTGAAACCTGTGCGCTGCTCTGCGTGTACGAGCAGTGTGTCACCCATCTTTGGCACTAGAGTTTTCTCTTCTTCCTGTTGTCCTTGAGAGTCAACATTTGAGTTGTTTATTTAAATCTGTTTTCATTTTGGAATTTCTGCTCCTTTATACCACTGCTCTTCTTCTTGCTCTTTACCTGAACAATGTTCTTATATTAATTCAGCTTAATCTTAAAATAGATTTTTGACATATCCTCTTTAGGTAATGTAACTGAAACCTTCATAGAGTTCTTTAATGGAAACAGTTCTCAAGCCACATACCCTCGTCCTTTATTTGCATGTATTACTTGAACATCAACATGAGAATTTATGCTTGTTTGTGTTACACATCATCTTATTGGCTCTTCAGACCATATTTTTGGTTCTTCATTGTATCATCTGAAATAATAGTTATTCTTTCAAGAACTGAATCATTCATAGTTAAGATAAACGTGGCTTTTATTTCTTCATTTAAACATTGATGGTGATAGCTTTAGCTGGTGTGGCTCAGTGGATTGAGTGCCAGCCTGCGATTCAAAGGCTTGCCGATTCCATTCCCAGTCTAAGGCACATGCCTGGGTTGCTGGCCAGGTCCCCGGTAGGGGGCACACCAGAGGCAGTCACACGTTGTATCTCTCCCCCTCTCTCTCCCTCCCCTCTCTAAAATAAAGTAAATTTAAATCTATGAAAAGAAACATTGATGGCGATAAACTCATGTAGAGTATTTTTGGTTTAATCCTCACCATGTTTCTGTTAAGTTGGTAGGTTGGTTTGTTTTTGTTTTTTTAAATTTTTTTTAGATTTTATTTTATTTTTAGAGAGAGGGGAAGGGAAGGAGAAAGAGAGGGAGAGAAACATCAATGTGCAGTTGCCTCTTGGGCACTCTCTACTGGGGACCTGGCCAGCAACTCAGGCGTGTGCCCTGACTGGGAATTGAACAGGTGATCCTTTGGTTTGCAGGCCCGCACTCAATCCACTGAGCTACACCAGCCAGAGTGGTAGGTTAGTATTTTTTAAATGATTCATCCATGTGTCAGTTACTGAGTGCCTGCTGTTGTTCAGACACTGTTTTAGGCAGTGGAAATAATGAACTTAGTAAGACGTGATTCCTGCCTTCAAGGAGTATCCAGTCTAGAGAAGGTTACACTAAAAAATTGTCAGTTCCACTGCATCTTCTAGGAGAGGGGGGCATGGAGTGGTGTCATCACCACTTTTCTTTAAGAATAGCACAAGTGATATTTGCTCTTGATCAAATAGCTAATAAGTTGCAGAACCCTGGGTTCAAATGCATATCTAGTGGCCAGGCCACTAGAGACAGGTTCCATGTGGACTGTGCTCTCATAGGACACTCTTTTTTCAGTCAGATGCAGTCTTGGGATACTCGTTATCTGAAGGATCTCCATTTCTTTTTTGCACATTCATACCTATAGTGTAGCTAAGAATACCACCCTATTTCTGACGTGCCAACTGGGATTAGCACCTTGTTTTTTAGAGTGCTACCAATTAAATTCCAGAAGCAGGATAATACCAATACTGAACTAGCTGAGTTGTTGGCTATTTTTAATGACAGTTTGCCTGCCTCTTACACTATAGTAATAGTAATTTCACTTCTCTAAACTATCTTCCTCTAATCAGGAAGTTGTTCTCTAGATATCAGTTATAAACAATAATTATTTTGTTTCCCAGGAGAAGAACAGGCATTTGCAGGATTTTTTAGCATACTAAGAGAGCCATTCCTGCCTTTAGCATAAATAACCATGAATGATAGTACTCCAGCGTTCTCCCAGGACTGTGTAATTAACAGAAACTGACATTTTCAGGAGAATAGGAGTAGGTGTCGTTGGTGAGGCAATGGGGATGATGGTATTATATAAGCCTCTTAATATTGTGTGTTTTTCTCATTGTTTTAGTTTCTAGAATATTCTTATGGGAGCTCTGAGCTCTGAGCTCTGTATTTGCTTTGTTTTTTCCCCTCATTATATAAATTATAATATGAAATAACAACTAAATAAGCAAAATAAGTAAGCTACAGTTATTTTAAAATGTGGCTTGGTATACACACACGTGTGTGCATGTATAAATATATGTATTTTACCCCTCTGATTAGATGACTTCCCAGAATCTACAGGAGTAAAGCGAATTGTTCAAGCCCTGAATGCCAATGTCTGGTCCAACGTAGTGATGAAGAATGGTAAGTAACTTGGGACCAAACGTGTTAATGAGTTTTCCTCTTGTTTCTTGTAAGGTTAAAATTATTGGGATATATTTGAAACCATAAAATTATATCAGATCTGCAGATTTGTTCAACTTTAAGTCCTCAGTTGAAGAAAGAACCAAAAGTAATACTTCTAAGAATTTTAAATGCCCGTTTAATAGTTAATTCAGTAAGAATTTTGAGCTTGCCTATAATATGCCTAGCATCGTCTTTGGCTTTGAGATGTACCCCCAATATTATGAAGGATGAACCCTCTCCTTAAGGAGCTCGTAGTCCACTTGTGCAAAACTTGCACTTTTTAAATGCTGAAATCATGCATGGCAACTTGAGATGAGTACAGAATGACTGGTACAAACAGTAGTGCCCTCGGGTCAGAGAAATGGCCTTAGCTGTGGGCTTCAGGTATAGAGCAAGCTTCAAGGAGAAAGTGGATCTTGGCAGCAGTCTTCATGGTATGGGCAGGATTCCGGTTGGTGGAGAGGGAGAGTGACTGGCAGGGGAGGACGCATTGCATCAGTAGTAACGGTTGTATATTCTAGGCAGGGTGTCCAACCTTCTGATGTCTCTGGTCCACACTGAAAGAAGAAGAGTTGTCTTAGACCACACATTAAATACATTGTGACATGTATTACAAAAAAAAAATCTCATAATGTTTTAAGTAAATTTACAGTTTTGTGTTGGGCCACATTCAAAGCCATCCTGGGCTGCATGTGGCCTGCGGGCTGTGGGTTGAACACCCCTGTTAGGGTCACTAGTGGAATCTCACCTAGAAGTTGGTGCTAGCTTAGAAGAGAGAGGCCTGAATGCTAGGCAGGAGAATCTGGGCTTTGTCCTGTAGGAGTTAGTGAGTCTCTAGAGATTTTTTAACAAGAGAGTGATGCAAAGAAGTTGGCATCTTTGAAAGGTTAATACGGTGATGTACAGGTGTTTGGCAGTTGAAGTAAGTGGAGGTAGAGCCTGGAGTCAGGGAGACGAGGCAGCTGTTACAGAGGCTCACGAGTGGGGTGTTGGGGCCTGGGCTGATGTGCTGGCCGTGGTCATGGGGTGGACAGCTAGATGTGGAATGCAGTCTGAAGCAGGTGGGCTAGTTAGTGCACGTAAGGCTCTTATGTCCAGATCCATTTAATGAGGCTGCCCTGACAAGGTAGCATGAACAAGATGGCTTAGAACAACAGGTGTTTATTGTCTCATAGTTCTAGAAGCCAGAGTTCTAAAATCAAGGGTTCAGCAGGGCCATGCTCCTCCGAAGGTGGTAGGGAAGGATCTGTTCCAGGTCTCTTCTAGCTTCTGGTGTTGTCCGGCTTGGGGCAGTGTAACTCCAGTCTTCCTGTGGCATTCTTCCCGTGTGCCTGTGTGTGTCCACATTTCTTCATTTTATAAAGACAATAGTCTTGTTGAAATAAGGGCCCACCCAACTCCAGTGTGACCTCATCTTAACTAAATACATCTGCAGTGACCCTATTTCCAAATAAAGTCACATTCTAAAGTATTGGGACTTAGAACTTCAACATATAAATTTTGTGGGGATACAGTTCAACCCGTAACATAGTTCTCTAAGAACTGCTGCTAGGGGAGTGTTTTTCTCTTGTAGCTCCTGGCTCCCCAGGAAGTATGCTGTGCTAGGTGAAACACTACAGACGGGGAATGAGAAGAATCACAGCTTTAGTGAGCTTACCCGCTCTTCACATAAAGGGTTGAGTGGCAGGTCAGTTTTATAGAAGTAAAACATTTCATCTCAATTTTTGGTCAGCACTTGAGTGTTAAGTGTGACTGGGGCCCTTCGGCTTGCCTGGGATCTTGTCTAACCCATGTCATCGTGGGAGAAGTTCCTTCTGGCATAGTCGGAAGTCATATTCCCTCCTCCCCTTTTCTTCCCCTCTCTCCCTCCTGCTTTAGTCTTTCTAGGGGGGGATCTAATGTGTCAGTTGCATTAAATTGCAAAGCTATGAAATTATTTTTATTGTGCCAGCATTCCAAATAAAGCCCTGATAGATCTAGAAAAAAATATGGAGATTTTAGCCTCTGATGTCATCTTCCTGTTTTAAAAAAACAGCTCAAATTGAGGCTTGATTCTGTTCATTCATTCATTCAGCACATCCTTCTTGAGCATTTATCATAGTGAGGCATTGCTGTAGACTGTATTTTCACTATAAAAATATGTTTAAGTTATGGTACATAAACTGGATCAATTTGGAATAAAATTATATTCAGTGGTGCTTATAATATTTATGAGAAGTATTTTCAGAAAAGCTTATATGGTGTCAGTTATGTTTTGAAACATCTCCCCCATCCCCAGGTTCATCTATTAAGGAAGTATTTGCCTTATAACATACACTTGGGTGTATATATTTAGAAGCTGTATTGAACACACTTTACTACTTTGGAGTTATGGTGAAAGGTATTTTCTGAAAAAGAAGCCATTCTGCTTAGACACTAAACGAAATTCTTAAGAGACCTGCCAAGCAATGAGGCTCACTGGAATTTTCATGGTTCTTTTCCCCGAAGTATCTTTGCTTTCTTTCTTTCTTGACCGTATTGGTATGTTGGTTTGCCATTAACCAAACACCAAAATATTGCCATTAGCTTAATTCCTTGTGTAAGAAGGTCCTAGCCAATGTGGTGAGAAGGAAGGAAACTTTACTCTCTTCGCTCTAGGAGGGGTCTTAGATAAGGAGGTACAGTGACATTTGGATACAGCCTAGGTCCTAGGAAAAGCGTGAAGGACACACTTGAAAAGCCCCACCACACCTTAGAGCAGAGACAAAGCTCTGTGTGAATATATGGTGGGTCATTGTGCTCTTCCAGGGCAACCCACCTGCTGAGGGCCTGGCGAGCCGCACCTTCCTCTGGCAGGCTTACCTCGAACGTGTCTGCCGGCAGGCACGCGGACTGCTGGATTTGTTTTGCGGGGCTCCGTCTTCTCTGCTTCTTTCTTTCATTTCCCTTCCTTTCTTCCCTCTTCTTTTATTTTTCTCTTACTTTTTAAAATTGTGGTTAAATATACATAGTAAAAAAATTTACCATTTTAATTATCTTTAAGTGAACAGTTCAGAAGCATGAAGTACATTAATATTTCTGTGTAGTCCTCACAATTTAAAGGTTTTTTAAACCAAAAATTTTTTTAAATAAAAAAGTTGGTTGACAAAGTAAAGAAAGACACTAGAGATATTCTCTTTTGTTATTGTTTTCAAATGGAAAGTTTAACCAATTAATTTAGGAATACATTTTTACATAAGATATTTGAGAATAAGAGAGGTAGCATGTCTGCTTCATTCTAAGGCTAGCTTAACATGATTCATACACCTAAAGATAGTATCAATAAAGAAAATTAAGAGGCCATCCTCTTAACATACACATAGATGCATGATCTTAATAGCAGTATTACCAATCCTGCCCTGGCTGGTGTGGCTCAGTGGATTGAGTGCCAGCTTGCAAAGCGAAAGGTTGCCAGTTCGATTCCCTGTCAGAGCACTTGCCTAGGTAGTGGGCCGGGTCCCCAGCTGGGGGCATGTGACCGATTGATGTATGTCTTGCACACTGATGTTTCTCTCCCCCTCGCTTCCTCTCTCCCTTCCCCTTTCTCTTAAGTAAGTAAATAAATAAAATCTTAAAAAATATTAGCAACCCTAATCCAGAAATACATAAAAAGAATACATGAAAAGCCCCACCTTTAGGTATATCATGACCTAACTGGGTTATTCCAAGTTCACAACATTCTTGTTTACATTTATTTAAATCACCACAGGAACCAGTTGCGGGGGGGGGGGGGGGGGGGGGGAATCGTATGAATCTGGCAGTCAAAGAACAAAAGCATTTGAAAACTTCAAAGTCTTCTTTGCGGGGGGGGGGGGGTAAAGAAACTGAACAGCTCACAGTGGACACCTGGGGCAGAGATCGCTAGCGTGCGGAGCAGGGAGCGGGGTGCGGGCGGGGGCGCCTCCCACTCTCGGGGCACTCACAGCCAGTTTTCTGTCGTGTTCCTTAGAAAATTACCGTAATCACAGTTGATTCTGGGGATTATTACCTTGCAAGTTGTATAATCAGAGTCATTATTTGGGGTGATGTATTACCTATTTAGTATTTAGCAAGCAGAAATGGAACACTGAAGCTACGCCGTACCGGTGTTTAATTTTGAACTGATCCAGGAAAATATTCGTTTGAAACTCTTTAAAAAACCTATTTTAAATTGTGCTTAGTTTGGAAAAATAAATCCAATTCTATTTAGTAAAAAACATGAAAATTTAGCTATTATGGCAAATAGCCCTGAAAATGTACAGCTCTGATGAGGGTTTTATTTCTTTGTACTTTATCGTCTGCTTGATATTCAAAGGCCAAATATTTAATTTGAAAATCTAGTCAATTAAAAATTTAAAAAGGAGTAGCTTGCTTCCTTCCTTTCACCAAGATAAAGTACATATGTTTCCTAAATAGGAATTTATATTCTTTGAAGCTCAATTCTTTGCTTCCTACAAGTCTGAACTACTTACCTGGTTATAGGATATCCTAATAACTTTTTGTCTCTAGGCCTTTCCTTAAAAGTTGATAGTACACAAACTACCAAAGAAAAGATGGGTAAATTGGACTTAACCAAAATTAAAAGCTTATATTCTTCAAAGGACACTTAGGAAGCTGAAGAGGTAGCCTTCAGAATCTGTAAACCATGTATTTGATAAGGATCTAGTGTCCAGAATGTACAAAGAAATCTTTTAAAAAAAAACAAACTTTATTTTCATTGCTGACACTATTACAGATGTCCCCGCTTCCCGCCCCCCTTGCCCATCCCCACCCAGCCCTGCCCCCTCGCCCCTGGCATCACCTCACTGTGGCCTGTGTCTGTGGGTCATACATACATGTTCTTTGGCTTATCCCTTCACCTTCTTTCATCCAGCCCCCCCACGACCCTCCCCTATAAAGAACTCTTATATCTTAATAATAAAGACAAATAACCCAATTTAAAAATGGCAAAGGAGTTGAAT